GCACATATATTTATATATATTTTTATCATGTTTATCACCCATGATTGTGATTAAAACAAACTCAAAACCATTCAAAAGAGCTGTGGGGCATAAGTCAGCAACAGCTCTTTTCCCTAGTAAAACAAACTGATATCCACTGCAAAAACTTCTATGAGAAATGTCTGGGTCTACACAGCTACATAACCTCTTTGAAAGAAGTATCATGAAGGTCTACTGCTCTGCTGCTGTATTCCCAGGCTTGGCGCAGTGACTGGCACACAGTAAACACTCAATAAATGCTAGTTAAGTAAACAAAAATAAGTATGTCCTACTTCCTCTGAGTTTCTAAATTGCTAAAACAAAGTAAAATACCGAAACTTCAAATCTCAAAATAAAATCTAAACAGCTTTATGAAATGAAAAGTTACTATAAACTCTCCCACTATATGCAACAAGATAATTTTCTGTGATTTCAACCCCCTTAGTGCAAGCTAGTGAAATAAAATTAGTAACATACCAGGTTGGTTACAGAAAAGTTAGCAGTTAACACAGCATGATTTCGACTGATTGACTGATCATTTTCAACTAGAATGGCACAGTTTTTCCTTCCAACAATGTACTCAACACCAGTCAAAAGTCTGTATGGTTCTCCTAAAACAAATAAAAAAAAAAGGTAAACTGATAGACACATACACATGTACATGTAATACATGCACATACACACATACATGCATGTGCATATGTTATATAGGTATGACAAATATTAAATAAAACATTTTTATTTTGCTATTCAAATGTTAACCAACTTTATATAAGTCAAACTTGTGTTTTCTAGTACAGCCTCACTGAAGAGTAAAACAGATTATCTAAGTAGATGGAAGGATATACCATTTTTGTAAAGCAAAAACAATACTGAAAGGAGTCAACACTCCCCCAAATTAACTTATTAATTTAATGTATTACCAAACAAAATTACAATACTATGTTTGGAACTTAATAAACAAATTCAAAAATTCATCAGGAAACTATGTAAAAAAACAGTCAAGAAAAATTTGAATAATATTATGGGAACTTGCCCTACTAGATGGAAAAATATGGCATAAAACTATAGTTGTTAAAAAGTATGGTGATGGACCAGGAGTAACCAACACAGACCAATGCAATCATGTCCAGACTAAATGTAAGTGCATAGCTTTTGGAATTTTGTTTTTATGTTAAAGGTAGCATTTCAAATCAGTGGACAAGGGTTATCAGTTTAAAAAAAAAATTGTAAATCACAAATTGTAAGAAGAACAACATATATGCTGGAGATTTGTGGAGTTCAGTCTGGGAGCATAAGCTTTCATTACCAGAGTGGTGCAGTGATCATAGGGCAGATAAACCAGATGAGTAGGAAGGAGTCCAGGAAAGCCAAGTCCACAGGGATGCTTTCATGAGTCCTTTTAATTTAGTTTGGCCCTCTTAATACTCCCTCACAATGTCAGTCCACTTAGTCTATATAGATCTTTTTTCCAATCGTAATGTAAACTTCCTGATGACAAGACACAATCATAGTATACCTGCTTACCCTTCTATCAACTAATAATGACCACACATAGGAAACAAATTAACATATGATAACCATGTTCCACTGCTGGAAATTCAGAAAAGAATAAAAAATCTACTTTTTCACTTGTTCTGATGACCTTATATTAAAAGTCTGAAACAAAACTGAAAGTAATTTTTCTCGTGGTTGCCATATACCCAAATCATCATGTGATTCTTCACAAAAATAATATGCTCCAGTCATCTGTTGCCATAGTGTCGTCTGGCCTGTGATAACCTACTGTGGGTGTTCCCCGCAAAGACTAGCTGTCACAGCAGGTCCCCGGCCAAGGCTCACTTCCCCAGACCATCTAAGCCCGGGATGGTCCCAACCACCCAGAACCACGCGACGGAGCCGGCGGAGGCGCCTGCAGTCGCCTCCCCTCGCCCACCCCGCCTTACAGCCCGGCTGGCCGCCGGGAAGACCACGCACTTCCCAGACACCAGCTTCGCAGCTTTCGCTTCCGCAGTCTCCCGGGGCGGGAACGGAGGCGGCGCAGGAAGCATCGCCCGCAGGCCCTCCCCCTCGGCAGTCGTTCCCGGGAAAACCGGCCCCAAGGTTTCCCTTCCGCCCTTACCTGGGTCCGGGCCCCCAGCTGGGACCAACTTCCACATGGGTCCGGCTCCACAGGACCGGGGCCGACGTGCGACAGCGCAAGCGCAACTGGCCGACGAGCGCGGCCACAGCGCCTGCGGTCGGCGCGGGCTCCGGGACGTGCGCGCTCCCGGGAGCCACGCAAGCTGCCTTGGAAACGGAGGCATGAGGCGGGAGTGCGACTTGGGAGCCTGGTCGCCACCTGCTGATTGGGAAAGGAAGAGAGCAATCTGTATTGGAATGTGCTGTGTTGAAAGATATTGAAAGGATATAAAGTACGGATTCCTTTTCAAGGTGTTCACTGAATATAACATTACCTACTTTTTCTTATTATAAATGTTAAGAATTTTTAAAATTAACTTCAAAGGAACATAAGGAAAGTTTCTAATTAAAGGCATTAAAATATTGACCAGTTAGGTAGTTCCATGCACTGGCAATTTCTTAAATCGCAGTCTTTCCTTTGTATGCATCCTAAAGCTGGTGATAATAATGGTGAAGATAAGGATTTCACCCCAAAGTCAACTCATTATTTTTACTCTTTTCCAAGTGTAAATCAACGTGTCCTAACTTCTCTATTTCATGTTACACTTTCATGTAATCACTGGACAGTCTACCCCTCCTTTTTATTTCCACTGGTCCCAAAATGGTTCAAGCTCTCCTCTTAATGCTCCAGTAGCCTCCTAATTCCTCACTACCCGCCTCCCTCAGTAGTCTATTCTATGTCCCGGACACTGTCGCGTAAACGCGTTGAGCACACTTCTCATCATATAATTTCTAGTTTTCAAAGGCATTCTGTAATAGGAAAAAAGTCAATTTAAAAGGCTAGTTAACGATTTCTTTTATAAATGTAGATGCACAAATCCTAAACACTTTAGCAAATTGAATTGAGTGGTATTATAAAAAGAATAATCATGACTAAGTCGGATTTGTTCCAGAAACAGAAGTGTGGGTTAACATGGGGGGCGGGTTAGGGAGTCAATGTAATTCACCAGAATAATTTAAAAAGGGGGAGAAAAATCATATGATCATTTCAATAGTTGCAAAAAATTTTGTTAAAATTCAACACTTATTGATGATAAAAACTCTCTGCAAAGTAGGAATAAAGGGAACATCCTTGATCTGATAAAGAACATTTATCAAAAACTACAGCTTTAAATTATACTTAAGGTAAATTATTGGACATTTCCCCATGACATCGGTAATGAAACAAGGACATAATATTGGATGTTCTAGCCAATGCAATAAAGCAGAAAACGAAACAAAAGGCATACATATTAAAAAGGAAGAAATAACACAGTTACTATTCACAAATGTCGTGATTGCATATATTGAAAATTTAAAAGAATCTATTGGCAAATTATTTGAATTAATAAGTGAATTTAATAAGATCACTGGATATGTCTAGATACAAAATTTAATTATAATACCTTTATTCCAGGAAATAAATAGAAAATGACATGTATAAGATAGGGAATTATAATAGCACCAAATCATCAAATTAGAAAGGTAATAAATAAAAATAGTAATAAATCTATCAAAATATGTGATATAAAATATTATTGACTAAAAAATTTATTGACAGAAATTTTTAGGAGTCCTAAATAAATGCAAGGATAATATACCAAGTTCATATATTGTTAAGATGTCATTTTTCCCAAAATCGATCTATAGATTCGATGTAACTTCAATGTCTCAAATGCTTTTTTGAGAGGAAATTGATAAGCAAATTCTAAATCTATGTGGAAATGCAAAGGCCTAGGACAACCAATGCCATTTTGAATAACAAAGCTGGAGTACTTAAACTACCAAATATCGAGGTCTATTATAAAGTTATAATATTAAGTCAGTGTTCTGTTGGCACAAGGATAGAAAATGGGCACATAGGTCAGAATAGAGGAACCTAAAAAAGGTGGACACATAGGGTAATTTCATTTTTCAAAGATGATACTACAGAGTAATAAAGCCCCCCCCAATAAATGATTCTGGGAATACCAGTTAACATTACATAAGAAATGAAGGCTGATCCCTTACCTCACACAGATATAAAAAATCAATACCATATGGATCATAATCTAAATATGAAAGTAAAATAATAAATATTTTAGAAGAAAACATGACTGAGAAATAGGCAGATCTTACTTAAAGAAAACACAAAAAAGTCTGCCCTGGATCATAGAATTCCTAAATTTCACTGATGTAGTCTATTCTCAATAATTTGTAGGAATTTTTTTCTACGCTCTGGCATATACATATCTCACCAAGGCCCCCAACATGTTTGCCAATCCTTGCTCATCCAATTTAATTAGCATGATGCCATCAAGGTAGTAGGCCAGTTGGATGTTCTGTGGAATGTCTAGATAGTTCAGGTCTCTTAGGACTGTATTCTGACAGAGGTTAAGAAGAGACATCATAGTGCTCGGGCAACACTGTAAATATTTTCTATTATTTGTTCCACTTGAATATGAACACTTTTGGATTTTATTTTCTGATAAGGTCAGGAAAGAACACGTTCATCATTCTCAATCACCTAACAAACCAGTTACCTGAGGTCATGTTGCTCTGCTCTTATAAAGATTTTGCATCTGCTACAGCAGCTTTAATTGAGATTATTACTTGGTTGAGTTATAGCAGTCTACTGTTCATTCTCCAGGAACTGTTGGGCTTTTGCAGGGCAAGTAGGGCAAATTAAATGGAGATATGAAGGGAACCAAAAATGGCACTAACATCTGCCATTTCCCTGCACTGTATTTTATTTACCATCGTGGCTGTGCAATATCAGAGTCTACCTGTTGGCCTATTCCACTTTGATAGCTCTTACCCCTAGATCGAGGAACTGATATATTGTACTAACAAACAAGTATGTCCATTCCAAGTATATATTTGGGAACTAGGGAAATGACCACCACATAGGTGTGTGTGCTCAGTAGACCTACTGTAAGCCAGACCTGGACAAGGACTCCATTAACTATCTCGCTCCTGAATACCTCCACTTCAACTGGAGGCCGTAATATTTTGGGTTCATGGGTATTGATAATGATCATGTCCAACAGCCCTCAAATGTTTGGGCATTCACTTCTCGTCAGTGTATGATTTTCCAAGTGAATGGCCATAAGTCCCTTAAGGGAAGGACTGGGGGTAGGGTGGGAGTAGGGAAATTCATTACCATATGACTTCCTTTTCCTTACCATGGTGTGGCAGGGGCCCTCCTCCTGCCTCTCCATCAGTCAGTGGGGTCCAGATTGGTAAACTGGCTCAAGTCAGGAAACAGGGGAAGAGACTGGCTTTTTATTGAGGCTGCTGCTCTGTGCTTTATGTCATCCATCCTTGGTATCTTTTCATTGTGTAGATTGAGTGTACCCTGTTGGCTGGCTTGTGGCTTTCCCCATAGGGATGATTTATTCTATTAACCATCCTTTAAGCTCTCTCTAGGTCAAGAGCTCTGGCTGCCACTCCAATCTTGCTACATTAGGATAATTGTAGCTTACTGATGGTTAAATGCCACAATTTGGCCTCCATTATTTCAGTATTCTATTATCACCATTACAATCTATGAACTCAATCCCACAGCAGCATCTTTTATTATTAACCATGACCTACAGAGCAGAGCTACCACTCAGCTTCTCAGTGATGCTGGTCCCCTTCTCACCAGAGAATTCATCACTTTAATAAATGGAGCATCTGAATTGGAACTTTGATATCTAGTGGGGTTTTCAGCCTTACATGGTATAGTCACTCTAACATACTTACTTCTCCGAGCATTTTGATTCCAACTTCTGCTATCTGCTGTGGCAAATCTGACATTTCTACTTCTCTTAGCGTGGGATACCACTTTTCCTCAAGCTTCTAAGGGTCATGGCGGAAGCATGATAGCAATGTTTCCCAGGGTCCTTGCCAGGGTGTTAAATCCCCTCTCTCTGGAGAGTGCTCCCAAATCAATAAACTCTCCCTCACCTAAATTTATTTTCCATTCACCTCTTGCTCAGCACCCTGAGAATACAGACCCATAAGCACTGTCCTTGTTCCTGTGATTAAATGTTGGCTAGGTCCTCCAGCTGCCCCAGGGTGAAGTCATTTCCTTCCCTTATCAGGCCCAGCTGGGTTATGCTGTAACTTAGCCCTGTTTACTCTCTGATCGCCAGGAAGAAATATGGCAGTGGCAGATAGATAAGGAAAAGCTGAGACCCTGTGATTTCTATCTGTTGCTTGGCAATAAAACAAATCTGATAATCAGAGCCCAAAAATTAAAAAGAGGGGGAATGATGCAAATAGAGTTTGATATCAGTAGCAAATTGGTTTGCTTATAGCTCCCTACTCTCTGCTTCATGTAGCTTGCTAGCATCTCCTCTTATCTCTGTTTTATTATGAACAAACCCTCCTAGATCTTCAGGGGCTTGACAGAAACTTACCTCTACATCTTGCCCTAAATGAAGCATAGCTCTCACCCTAGACAGCTTCCCGTGAAGGTTCTAGGATAGTTTGCTCCAATACCTCTCCCACTGATATCCACGTCTATGGGCCAATAAGGTTACTACTTCCCTCTAAACCTTTACTTTCCATTTTAATGTATTACACTTCCCTACCTTGCAAAATCTCTCCTTGGTCAGGATCGTTTTGTGGGACTACCTACCCTCTAGACCTCCTTTTATTATTATTAGTTGCAGGCATGTCCACGTCACTTGCCCATATTCATCGAGGACATTGTCACCTAGGTGAGAGTGTTTTGTTCCATCCCAACTCCTGCTTTCATTCTCAAGTTATTGTAAGATACACTGAAAAACCCATTATACCACGCTCGGCTCACCTTTCTTCGATTGTCTCAGCTCCTGCGACTTTCATCTCTAATTCACACACACTACCCTTTTGGATGGCCACACTTTAGATCTTCACATCACCAGAACCTTCCCCACCTTTATTATCCTACTTTCCATCCAGAGCTTCTCCCTTCCTTATGTGCTCACTCACAATGCGTTGCTGTTTAGCCTCATCCAGGTCTCCGGCCACACAATCCCTCCACTTTACCCAGGTGTCAGTCCCCTTCCATCCTCCTTCATATCCAGGCTGGGCACCAGAATCTATAGC